GTTTTCGGGACCCATAAGTCCTTTCGGTCATTGTACCGTTACAGTCTCTAAGCGTGGAGACGGAACGGACGAGCGAGAGACTGTGGAAGAGTCTAAAAGTAGTTCAAATAGAGAATTTAAATTCTTTACTTATTTCCGTTTTTATTGTTGTTGTTGTATGTTATTTATGAAATACAAGATTGTAACTGAATTAATAAATAAATAAAAAGTAGTAAAACGCCAGTGACCGGCGTTTATTTTTTCAATCCCCGCAGCCGTTCTTAATGTCGTCACGCAACCCTCCTTTCCACTAACGGCTGCTAACGTTCGAACAACACTCCTTTCCCTTTTTTCATAAAACAAGAGCAAAACTTTTAAAGAAGTGTATTTTTATTCTAAATATTATTTACTTTCCTTTACCTTACAGGACATGCCCACTTTGTCGTGTATTTTCTGGATTTGTCATACCGGTCTGTACTAAAAACCACAACATTAAGCACTGTTAAATATTCTATTAAATTGGATTCTTTCTGCAAATCCTTTATAAGCATAGTTGTGAAAGTACATACAATTGTCTAACATTTCATTTCATTATTTAGAGTTCAATTTGGGTGGAGGATCCAGAGGAAAAGCAAAACCTAATTACGGAATATACAAAAGCATTGAGGTAAGCAATGTTGGTCGATCAAAATAAACAGCGCGTCTCAGGCGCCGATGAACTAAAAATATGTTGGAATTTTATGTGAATTGTGCACACATTTGCAAAAACTAAGCATCATTATTTTCATTAAATTACGATTCAAAACGAAATTGAGCGTTAAGATTTAAATTAAAGTCCACATTCGATTCTTTTTGTTGTTGTTGTTGTTGTTGTTGTTGTTGACTTTTTCGTGCCAGCAAATTTTACCGAAAAAATTGCCAACATTTCGTAAACATCATTGCCAAGTTTCGTTAACAATTGTATCCGTTAAAGCAAGGGCGCCAGTACAGACGAATTTGGTTCAGTTATTCTAAATTGAATTGATAAATCTTTGTTTCTAAATGGATACTAAAAAGTGTTCACTTATCTTTAGAAATAAATGTCCTTTCCAACCAACGGTCTTTCTGGTTTGAATCAGCCGTACGYTCTGAGTATTTACCGCTGCACTATCCGTGTCAAGCAGCGCTGGCGTCGCTTCGTTTGCGATTACTCTCCTTTAATAAGTTAATCAAATTTACTGTACTGAAGGTAAATTCCTCCTCGACTGCTAGTGGACCCTCAGCTTTGCACCATCACGTGATGGCAGCCATCACAACACGGCCTAATCTGATCTAGATGACAAAGAATTCAGTTTCCCAGGAGAAAGATACCCCATTGTTGTGCCTCCTGTCATGGCTGCCATCACGTGGCGGTGCAAAGCCTCTATAGAACAAAGAAACAATACACGTACAATACAAAACTACACATGTAGTTACAAAATGAATAAATAATAGAATAATCTCCTAATAGAAGACAATGAACCTGACCAATTCCCCTGGCGTCACCTGAGTAAACTGGCGYAGTTTTGGATGTTGCCTAGGCCTTTTGTACTAGAGAACCACACCCATGTGGCCCTTGGAGGCAGTGGGAGAAATGGCAGCACCTCTTCGACTGAAAGGATGAAAAAGGGCACACGTAGCCAGTTTGATTTTGGAGAATGGGAGAGAAGAGGTCGTTTGTATTGTCCCTGTCCCTTATCGACTCGCGTTTGAGCGACCAATTGGGTGGACAGGTCATTTTCGGCTATTCTAAAAAAAGGTTTAAGATGAATAAGTCCAAATTAGAGTATATGAAAATACAGCTTCAAATCTTCCAAAAAAGTTTTTATCAAAGTGCTTAGTTTTCCACGGCATATAACAAAAGAGTGAACAGCAAAAACAACAATATGCAATATATAACAAAAGAAAGAACTTTTGCAACTTTTCGTTTTTGGCACAATAATCTTGATTTTCAGCATGCATTTCCTATGTCTTATTTTGTAGCAACAAACCATGTAAATACTTCAATGAAGGCAAAGGTACCTGCCCATTTGGTTCGAGCTGCTTCTATCATCATGGTAAGTTAATTGTTAATTTTCTCTACACTTGTTTGAATACACTTCTGTGCAAGCATTTAACAGTCGTATTTATACAGCATATCCTGATGGAAGCAAAGAAGAATTCAAGTTAAGACGTCTGAATACCGCAGATGGTGGTGTAAAGACCTCCAGCAACTGCAGGTAATAGTACTGCATTTCAAATTAAAAATTATGATTTATGATTTATATAGCGCCCTTTAATATGTGGATATAATCAAAGGCGCTTTACATGGAGTTGTGAATGACAGATTGATTTTTATGCAATTTACAAGCATGAGAGATGGTTAGTATGAAGTGTAGGTACTGAGGGTGGTCACTGCCAGGGTTTCTTTTTTACGTCCTCAGTGGTTCKTTTATGTCCCCCATTTTTACTGTAGGTTAGGAAGGGTTAGGAGACAGGGCCTACCTTTTAAAGTCCTTGTCCGAGAAGACTTGATATTATTACAAAGGCAGCACCTTCTCCTCAGTTATTGAGGAGTGTTGGTCCGGCCGAGGCTTGAACCACGACCTCMCGCACAACAGACCGACGCTCTTCCCAAATGAGCTAACCGGGTGGCGCTATTGCAGCGTTTTCTCGGTCTTCCTTGAGGAAGAACGGTGCAAGAAAGCCCGACCACGTCATTTGTACCCCTAGATATAATTAGAAGAGATGCTGCAAAAGCATTTCAGTACTTCTTGCATAACAAACGCCGCGCGGTGATTGCATTACGTGATCTTGTTATAGTTAATATTCAAACATGCGTGACTTCTATACTTGCTGTTTTTTCTTTAGATAAATTTCTAAAGAATACAGTACCTTTATTGACACTTAAACATCATTATGTTCATGTACATTTGTAAAATGGGTAACTTTTTCTAGTATGTCACAGTCATCAAGAGTATTTACCACGTCGCTAAGCACGTGCAACTCCATACGTAATTCAAACCAATGTTCGCAATCGCTTGTACGATAACACAAATGATTATTTGTGCAAAATCAAATCGTTTTTTACTACTATTGAATACAGCAAAAACAAACACATGAATCAGGATTTTTAAGTTGCTTCGCTGACTATATTTTTTATCCAATATGGCGATTTGCTTGTTGTTTGCTTCACCTTTGAAGTTCTGCTCAAGGAGATTTTCTGTTATTTCAACATCTGAGTTGTTCAATTCAGCGTCATAGTTTTCTGTTGAGTCACTTGTCATGGTTTTGGCAGTCTTTTCGAGGTTTGTGCTCGAATATAGCTCATTTGTTACCTCGTGAGAACTATTATGAATTTGGCTAGGAAGCTTACATGATTTCAAAGATTTCAACGCCTTCAAGCTATAAGATTCGTGGACCGACCCGTTCCGAAAAAGCTCTACATTTTTTAGTGTGGGCCTACCACGAATGGCGAGTGCGTTTGCATGTGGGATGATCGTAAAAGGCATAGCACTTTCCAAACATTTCTTCGCGCAACAACTTTATTACCCCACAACAACTTCATAATCCTACGAACCAAAGCAGAAGGAACGAAGGAAGCAGGAGATTCTCATCCCCAGTTCCCAGCGACTCAGTTAGGAACGTCTTGGACCATGACCCATTTTGGCGACCAAATACGACGACAAAGAACGGCCTGCATTTTTAGATTCGGGTTCCTGCGGAAGCCCGAGTAAATAATAGAATTTGCAATACTTATGATGCTTTTTGAGGAAAGGCCTTCTTTATTGACGCAACGAGAACATCAAAAGGCATCTAATTTATAGCGTAGCTCCCTTTCGGCCCCCACGATACCCCGATCCCCTCAGTCGATAAATAAGGCTCAGTCCCTTATATTTAGAAGTAGTTGTTTAATTTTTAATTAAGATAACTGATTATGGTCAAGATCTGATGCTATTGTTATGATTATATACTTTCAGATTGTGGGATTTTGTTGAGGCAAGAGAAAATCAAAGAACAAGTGTTGAAGAAGACGTGGTATGGGAGAATGAAAGATTTGTTGAATACGACTAAATCCAGCGCTAGCGAAACATTGATACATTCATTTCTGGARCGATATTCCTCTCCCAATTAGAAAAGCTACAACTAGAAATAAATTTAAATCTTTTCTGAATAACCATTACCTTAATCAATTTTAATTCTATTGTATTATAGCTTATTCTAAATTCTTCTAGCACCTATATCATTCACTCCTAGATTATAACCTAGATTTTTTCCCTATTCCAGTCTATTCTCTACTTTTACATCCCCATAATGCCTTGCGTCTTTGGGGGTAACCAATCGAAAAACTGTCCCAAATTGAAAGGTTTCTTAATTGAATTTATAGTATACCTGCTTTTATCTGTACAATACTGTTTATCAGTTTGTTGCAAGTTATTTTTGCGTGTACAGATCATCAAGAGTTTTGGTCTTACAGAAAATGTATTGACTTGCGAAAAAATTTTTAAAATTTACCTTAAACATCTTCAAGCTTCTACCTTTTTCTATTTTTTACTTCTTCATTTTATCTTTGAATACCAAACAAGGTATTTTCAACATTGTCTGATCAACCTTCAGCAAAATAAGTGGGCTTTTACCCTCTGGTTACCCCACAAATACGCAAAGTATTATGGGGATGTGAAAGTAGAGAATTCCTATTTCTCTCAATTTTCCTTATATGGGCAACTAATTAGTTCATCTATATCCTTGCCCAATCTCCATCAATATGTTACTATTGTAAAATAATTATCTAACTTAATCATTCAATTGTTTACAAATAAAGATAAATAAATAAAATATATATAAAATATATAAAAAAACAAGAGAACTCGAAACTGGAGTATATCGAAAACAGAGCTTTATCTAGCACGTAGATGTGTCTTGTGTGGGTAGCTTTCTCAGTGAAGGATGATTATTTTCTTCCATGAAATATTGAATGAAACTATTCGTAAATTTACTTCCTTTCAGTTTTTACGATTTATTTAACTAAATTTGGGCTTTTTTATTAAAGTTTTTCTTTTAATTTAGTCGTGATATTGATATTTTTCCTCAGTCATTTTTGTTTTGATTGCTATCGTCAAGAAACGGCAAAAGTCGAAGAAGTGCAGACGTGAAGTTTTTTATTTATTTATTTTTATCTAAACATATTAACTCTCTGTGTTCGCTCGAAGAGCTAAGCTCATCGTGGGACATTACGCAGAACATAATTACAATGTTTTTGGAGTTTTTAGGAAAAAGAAAAAGAAAAATAAGTTTAACATATTAGCAAGGAAAAAAACCATATACACTCAATAAGCCTTTTCATAGTTTAAGAATCGATTCCACTGCGCATGCGATTTTATCCCGAATTTCTCACCTCTTGTTTAATTAAGAACAAAAGAAGGTTTAGACAAAAGAAGGTGAGAATTTCGGGATAAAATCGCATGCGCAGAGGAATCGATTCTTAAACTATGAAAAGGCTTATTGAAGAATCTTTGTCGGGTTCAGAAACATACAGTATAACATAAAAGCTGAGACCGAAATGGCTCATGGGAAATGACATAATTATATTATTATTCATTTATTTATTTGCGCCATCCATGCAGTCGGTTTAGAATGTCAAACGCGCATTAGAAACAGTGGATGATGCCACGGTTCGCCGGTCACAGCAATGCTTCTAATTAACGTACTTCCCATGTGCCATTTCGGTCTCCACTTCTATGTTCTATATTTCTGAACCCGACAACGATTCTTCAATTGAGTATATTTAGAAAAAGCACAATGGAGATTACATCGTGGGAGATTACATGTAACATATTAGAAAGGAAAAAAAAAAACATATGTATAGAAAAAGTACAATGGAAAAGAAACTTGAAGTTTGTCAGGTGGGTCACAAACGAGTTGTGCTCGTCTGAGTAAGCATCTTGATCGTAGTGGCTGCGTTAAACAATAGTGAATAGACGATTGTCAAATTGCAACAATTTACAGGGTTTCTTAGAGCCTCTGACGTTGACCGCAGCCAGAACTGTCGGAGAGCAACGACAACCGACAAAGATCTGGGAGGAAGGAAGGAAGGAAGGAAGGAAGGAAGGAATAAAGGAAAAAAAAAAGAATTGAGAGAAGAAATGAGAGAAATTAAGAAAAATAGGAGTGAAGGAAAAAAAGAAGGAAAGACGAAAGCAAGGAAAGATAGTTAGAGAAAAGAGGAAAAAAAAAAAAAAAGAAACAAGAATGAACGGACATTATTTAGTTTATTTTTCATTTTTACCTTGCTCGTCTGTGCCGTCTTTTTTTTCTCCAATTTTTTCTCTAGAACTGCGAGAAAACGGTTTCTCTTAATAAAGGTCACTATGGCGGCTTCCTCTCGCCACGCTGATCAACTTCAAACAGTGTGTTTTTCACCACGCTACATTATAAATTTACCGTCATTATTATATCCTTTCTCGCCTGGGCAGCCTCTTCAATAGGCCCTTTGCAGCTAGAAAATCACGTGCTGATTAATTCACTGAGAGCAAATGAATGAACATTTTGATTCCCATGGGTGAAATNAAAAAAAAAAAAAAAAAAAAAAGCGAGAAGAGAAGGCCCTGGGAACGAGATTGCTGTTGTTTGAGTTTACGTCTGCTGGGCCTTGCAAGGTGTGCCATTTATCATATGTTAATTTTTTCTGTCTAAATTTATGCGTGTTTTCAAAGTCCTAGCGTTTTCCATGGCAATTTATCTTGAAAATGATGGTAAGTGAGGTGGCAAGTAGAAGAGGTGGAACGTTGCAGGATGAGAAGCAAATAGGAATCATCGAAGAAGGGGAACTAAAGGAAAGCCACGCGTCAGAATCATCGTTCCTTAAGGTAAAATATTGTCATCCATTATTTATTCATTGGATAATCGATTGAAACTTCTGAGGAAAATATTCAGTAAAGCATTCAGGGACTTATATATTGAATTTACAGTATGTAGTGTCATCAATCTTGAGATTGTTTCAAGATAAAGTTGAAGGAAAGATTTATAAAAGACTCGTTACACAGTTTCTTTAAAAATGACTTCACTGCTACGATTGATTTTATTATAACCATTATGCCGCCTTCTGTCAGCTTATTCAACAAGTGTACTTTCATTATTCAGAAATAAAGCTATCGAATTAATAACAAGACCCATTACTAACCAAAAAATATAAGTATAATTTTATACTTGAATATAGATTTTCGCACGCTGTGATTGGTTGAGCTATCAGTGATTGCATAGAGGATATGCATTAAACTTCTAGTTATGTATTATGGCCAAACCTAGTTAATATTAACTATATTAACTATGGGCCAGATAATTTTACAAAGTGAAAGCTGCTGTATTTATTTAGAGGCCCGTAAGGGTGAGAAAAAATACAGCTTCAAAGTAAATTGAATTATAAACATATCTTATCCTGAATGATGACTTTTCTCTGATATTCAAGTCAAAGTTATACTCAAACAATTATTTACATGTACTATGGCCTCCTTAGTATAGCAAATCACACGATCTCAAGTACACTTCGGAATTTATAGGTATTAGTGATGTTTTAAAAGTTTTGAAAATTGGACGAGCCTTTACAATTTATATTTTACAACAACCACCACTTCCGTGAGGTTACTTCCTTTCGCAATACCACTACACTGTATACTTACAACATACAACATTCAGCTCATATGTTGCTCTTTATAGAGGGAGGAAACCGGATATCCTGGAGGAAACCCCAGTGGCATAGGAGAGAACAACACATCAAACAAACCCAACTCACATATAATCCAGTATGAGTAAGGGCTTGAGCCCAGACCACAGTGGTGAAAGGTGAGCTGTAAAGAAAAACATCACAAGTATCTATAAATTCTGTATTGTACAAGAAGATTGTGCAGTGTTTTGTTTATAATACACTAAAATAATTGAGCAATTTAATTGGGACTCTACAAAGTACAATTTTGGATTTTATTGTACTCCTCTTGTCCAATCAGAATCAAGCAACTTCATTGAGTGTATAATAATGGTGAATATTTATACCTCTCAGCCCAATGAATCATGGCTCAGTAAATTCTTATCAATTCACCAATAGTAATGATTTTTAAATAATCCTTGCCGTAAAAGGTTTTAGCCCTTTTTATTATATAGTTAAGATAGTACGGGCCAGCTGATTGGTGTGAAAACTGTGCTTTATTAGTGAATGGAGTACAGTGCTGACCACATCTGTGAGCGTGACATTCTGCTAGATCCTGTGTCCTTCATTCTTTTTGCTTAAATAAATTCAATACCAAAATAAGATTAGTACCGTAATTTCAAAATATTGATTAACAAAGGAAATTATAAAGTCAAGCAATTCTGAGAGAAGTTAATAATGATAATTTATTGCTTGTATAGCACAAATATATTTGATAATAATACTTTAGTCAAATTCAAGTTCAAAAGAAAAAGAAGAAAAAAATAATTAGAAAAGGAAGACCATGAGGTWAGCCCTTTAGTAAGGTCCCCTAAATAACAATGAATAAAATGTATATAATTGGAATGATATTCCAATATTTAACAATTTACATTGTTCTTCATAAGACATCTCGCGATGCTTTTGACCTAGAGCTATTATCCATGCTTTACATCGTATTTTTTCAGTAGCTGAAATGTCTTTTGCTAAATGTGGTCTTTTTGATCAAAAGTTTTTTCGATTAGGTCTTTTCGACCCACCTATATACACTTTCGATCCACATATATAACTAAAGCATATAACAATTAGTCCTATTTGCTTTGTACATGCAAAATGTAAAAGAGTTAGTTAAAAAGTTGTCATGAATAACAATTAAGAGATTTTGATCAAAAAAGAAATTGAAACTATGTGTGGTGCACTACTATGAGCTTGAATTGATTGGCTGGGCATGATGATTACATCGGTGATGTCACAGACTTTTTCAAACAAACACCTTCCAACTGTCTTAAATAGTAGGACATTGCTTTAAATCCTTTTTTATAGTATCTAATAACTGTAACTAAACATGAAGTGGAAATATCATTGGCTAAGTTTAGCATATAAATACATGAAAAATGATTGATGTGGAATATACCTTGATTTCAAGTAGTACACTTTTCAGTTTCCCAACATTTGAAGAGAACTACGTAAGCTATCAAATGAAGCTGAATAGGATATGAACTTAAGACAAAAATATCACTTTTATTTAAGTGTCTAGTCGTTCTAGCACTTACGCACTTAATTGGGGACACTTTTTGTTTACACGCACTACATTAAATGTTCTATGCTCAACTCACATGTTGATTTTTACGGAGTGAGGAAACCAGAGAATCAGGAGAAAACCCTCGTAGGATAGGAGAGAACAAAGCTAGAGTACTTTAATAGTACTAATTTTGGTTGATTTTGATTGAAATGGGGCTCAGATATAGCTTATCATAATCTTAGGCTGATCAAGCATCATACTGTAAAAAATATGACGTTATCAGGAAAAATGRCTGCCATTCTTTAAATTCCAATATTTTCTGAAATAAAAAAGGTATTTCAAAAATGAATTAACAATTCACTCCACTATGAAAGGTTCTCAATCCAGGCAAAAAAAAGTCAAAAATTTAATTGTAGTGGCACGTACACATCATACACATGTACAGTAACACAATGCTGTTTTCTCCTAGAGAGAGTTTTGTCTCTATTTTTACTGTTAAGGTCTAACTAGAGACACTGTATTACAAGCTACATAAACATGTCTTATTGGTGCAAAATACAACGTGATATTTTGGTAAGCCCTTGCACTAGTTCTAGCTTTGAGCCAACGGTGTATGTTGAAGATATGCAAACCAGTTTATGCTCATAGAGATCAGGGTCTTGTTAAAAGGATAAAAGAAAGAAAAAATTTTCTTTCAAATATGGCAGTGAAAATATTCTTTAGCTCTGATTTAAAAAAGTGAGACCAGCCAAAATGTTCATGTTTGCTTGTGTTTCATGCACTGGTAAGCAATAACAAAGCATCTGAACCATCTGTTAGCAGGTTATGATCATGGTTTGTAAACAAAAAAAAAATGCACTTGAAACTCTGTATTCTAGCTTTAATTTCTTGAAGATATATAGGTCTACCAATTTCTTTAGGTTTTTGAAGGTATGTTAAAGTGTTAGTCTATATTGTATTTTTGCAGGACATGTTAAATTTAGATCTATAACKTTCTATCTCAATTTTATTGTAATTTCATGGTAGTCAAATTGTACTCCCATAAGATATTAGTTGGACTATCAGCATATAGTATTTACCATTTCTTCATAATGTTTGGTGTTGCCATYAATTTTTTTCAGCCATATATAGCAGTACTGTATATTTTATAATTTGTCATTTTATTTATATATCTGTTTGAAAAGACCTGACTGTGTGAAAAAAGTATTTTATGTCATTGGATAAAATAAGTAGAATTGACAGATCAAAATTATTTCATAATACATAATAATAATATGATATCTGATGGATTAGTAGACTAGCAGGAAGTTAATTTGGTTACAGAGGAGTGGAAGGTATACCAGGCAGGGGAGGTTGACACAGACAGTAGCCTTGATGAACATTATTGGGCAGATATTTTCAAAGAGAAATCTCAACAGGGTGAATTCAAGTAAGCCGCTCTTCAAAAGCCTTCCATCTTTAGTTCATGGCAATGCAGATGTAGAAAGTAGACTTTCTGCAAACCGAGGATAGTATCTCCAGACAGAGTGTCTTGAGGTTACTTGACAATAAATGGTCTGTATCCCGTCAAAGATTATGTGAAGGTGTGTGGAGCGCCACATAATGTTCATATCACAAAAGGGCTTCTTCATGCATYAAAAGAGGCACACAAAGTGCATTTCAATTGCGTGATGGACTGAAAATCGGCCGCCAAATAGACAAAGATGAACAGCGTCGCTTCGCATTTTTTACTGAAATTTTGTTGAATGAACTATAAACAAAAAATCGCAAGATCTTCTCGTACAATTTGGAATTAATAGACACTCATAATGTTTTGAAAGTTCTTTAATTGCACTCGCCTAAAGGCTCATGCAATTACAAGAACTTTCAAAACATTACTYGTGTCTATTAATTTCCAAATTGTACTCGAGATCGTGTGATTTCCTATACTAATCCCTATATTGGCCCTATACATTTAGCCCTATATTTTCATAGGATGGGGCTTGAAGCACTGCTATTATATATTTTGCTGTAAAAACAAAGTCTGGGATGACCCTGACTTGATGAAGTTTTAACTTTTCGTTACAACTAAATATGAAAAAAAAGTATAATTAATGTTTTTAGTATTTTTCATGTACTTATGTTTAAAAGATTCAAGTAGCTAATTGTAAATTGCCTATATATTATAGTGAGATTTAAGATTGAATTTGGAAAATATAATAAAGTTTACATTATCATTATTATTATTATTATTATTATTACTGCTACTAAGGTTGAGGGTATTATACATGTAGCTGAATTAACAGGTTGAATGTTCTGCAAATTTTTGTGCAAATTTTCATGTAAATTATTTACTAAGATTAGTTTGAAAGATATATAACTATTAGTAACTATAAAATGCATTTAGTTACATATTTTTTTTATAATTTTACAATTTTTTTTTTGTCTAGGGTAATGGTACCAGCTTGGTTGTTGAGGAAAAGGTTTCAACTGTGAAGATAAATAGTGTACCTGACCCACCTTTTGTCATGAACATGCAGCTTAATGTTGTATGGTTGGTCTTGTTAGGACTTTCCTTTGGTACACGATTATGGCAGCTAACTATACCAAAATATGTGGTGTAAGTAAAACTTATTTGGTGCAATAGACCATTTCACAGATCCTGCGGCTCAACCTCAGCCTTGTCAGCATGTAATATATTCTTTAGAAATTGCCTTCAACCTGTGAAATTTTTAAGTGTTTCAATTGTTCGTTGATGTTAAAATTCCTTTCATTAGTGCGGACTGTAGTCAAATTCTAAAGAATAATTACACGCTGACGAGGCTGAGGTTGAGTAACGGGATACGCGAAGTGGCCTATTATTTGACAACATTTTTAAAGTGGTAGAATATTTGCTTTGTAAATAGATCATGGATTGTCAGTGAGTATTGATGGTTTTCAATCATTCCCAAGAGAATGTAATTACAAAAGACACGGCGGCCATGTTGGAGGATATAACAAAAGAGACTAATGGCAAATCTTTTGTTAAATCCCTCCAACATGACAGCCGTGAAAACCATCAATTGCTAATGAGCAAGCTACTGGTAAATAATGTGAGCCATAAGAGTCTAAGGATATCTGATACCGCAGTCGACTGAATGTAAGTCGATCTTCTTTCTCACACACATGAAATTGCTAGTTTTGTGTCCATAAATTTTAAAAATGAAAATGGGTGGAAATTGATTTACAGTATAAAGTAGATTTTTACGAACTCACGCTCTGATTGGCTGGWAAGCTGTTTTATCAGAGTATAGAAACATAGATATGGCGTCAAAACCATGTTTGCTATGTAAAATTAAACATAGATGTCATGTCACAGGAACTCGGTTTTTCAGTAAAAGTATGTTAATTTTTTAAATTTAAAATATTTTCATATTTTTATTTTAAAAAATACATATATTTGCTTTTCCAACATTATTTGCTAATAAATGAAAAATATTTGGCTCCAGACACAGGGAGCCCACAGCAAAAATGCTTAAAATAAAATATATTGTGCTTTTAATTAATGTTGCTTCACACGTTTGAAGAAAAAAAAACAAACGTTCAGATTTTCGCAAGGAGGCATTTCTTTTGTGTTCCTGTAATTGGAGTAGTAGCACTAAAAGCCCGGGGGGGGGGGGAGTGGTACTCCCCCAGGATTTGGGTAGGAGTGTTCCGCTGGGATTCTGAAAGGGGTACCCTGTTTATGACAAAAAAACTCAAATTCGTAGACCCTGTTTATGACAAAAGGGATAATTGATTGCACTGAGTTCCTGTTTCAATTATCATGCCAGCTCAGGTATCGCTTTTTGAAGACCATAGTAACCAGTTTGGGTCAATTCGAAAGTAGAAACCCTGAATATGACAAGAAACTCAGGAAAAAATTTGGAACTTGAGTGAAATTGCATACCCTGTTTATGACAAGAAGCTCGAAAAACCATACCCTGTTCAGCGATCATCCCCGTATAGTCCATATATGGGAGTACCCCCCAGGACTAAAAGCTACTTTTTATTTTTATTTTGCAGGTTTGATGAAGTACACTTTGGAAAATTTACGAACTTTTTTATGCAAAACAAATTCTTTTTTGATGTTCACCCACCATTAGGAAAACTCACTTTTGCAATAACAGGTGAGATATTAAATCAAACTAAATAGAGATATGTTTATGTTATTGTATTAGCTTAGATAGTCCACCAACCGCAATGAAGGCAGACAGCTTACAGTTATTTTTGCTTTAATATGGCTTCTTTTAATATTAATGCTATTAATGCATTATGAATTCAACAGCTTACTTGTCTGGATATGATGGAAGCTTCTCCTTTGATGAAATAGGACAAGGCAAGGACCAACAATATTAATTGTTTTACAATAACTTACRAATTTCTCACGTGCTGATTGGTTATTTTTTACCATTAATTGATGGTTTTCAACGTTGGAGGATATAACAAAAAGAATTCATTGACAATTCTTTTGTTAAGCTCCTCCAACATGGCCACCATGAAAACCATCAATAAGAGGACAGACAGATAAAGCTGACGTCAACAAGCATGCGCTCTTTCCATTGGTTTTGATCGCTAAAGATGAGAAGTTTTTGTTATTGTGAAAAACAAATAGACATCAGTTTTTTAATGTTTCTTTCCTCTTATTGATGATAAATTTTGTCATCATATTGTCAAAGTAGCGTGCAGATCCACTCGGCGATCCACACTACTTTGACAATGTGATGACTCAATTTATCGTCCGTAAGAGGACAGACACATAAATAACTGAGGTCTGTTTGTTAGAATGACAATGGTCTTACAAAACACCTTCACTAATATTGGGGAGGGGGGAGGGGGGGACAGCATAGAAATATTATTAACAATTATAAGTTGGATGAAGTTAGTTGGGTAACCGTGTATTTTATCACCAGCCATCAGGTGTTGGTCAACTGATGCCTGACTGTCAGTTGTGAGTCGCTCGGCTGCCACCCGCCTATCAGTCATGTGCATCTATCAGCCAAGCATCAGCCGTATATAGCCTGGATAAGGTTGCATGAGCTTACATGTATAATATTATAATTATAAGCTATTAAGACTGAGTCAGCTGTCTTATCTGCCTATGGCTATAGCCATACATAATTTATATAATAATAATCGTAAACTGAGAATTATAAAATGTTTATTATTAAAATGAACAATTGTGGCAGTTCGGAGGAATGCGACATTTCGACCTCTACTGCTAGTCTTGATCAGGCAATGGCGTAGACTGCAAAGTGGTCTTCATATATACTGTACGAACATAAGAATACCACCTTCCAGTCTACACCATTGCCTAATCAAGACTAGCAGTAGCAGTCAAAACGCCCGCGTGGTCCTTCCTAACGAATAAGTATAATATATAAGCAGCAGTTAGGCGGACTCGCGAACTGCCTGCATCGCCAAAATTAACAAGTCGAAAAATGCCATGGGGGGGTGGGGTTTTGGAGGTCGGTAATCCGCCCTACAGGGGGTCTTGCGTGATCAGCCTGCAGCGCGACTTGTTGCCTAACTGCTGCTCTGTTGGGGTCGCAAATGGAGGGTAAAATATTCCTTAGATATACATGGCATCCGTCAACAAGATTCAAAACGAAACTGTGCGCAGGCTGGGAAATCAGGTGATGGATAACTCAGATGCGGATTTTGTCTTCGCGACGTTTATGGAGGGAAAGACAGACAAGACGATGAATCACGAGATGGCTGAAAAGATAATCGACAGAATGCCGGACGGCGACTACCGTTTGGAGTTGACGTTCGTGAAGTATTTGGACGGCGAGTGGGTGATAGAAAAGGGCCGTAATCCCATCAGGGCGTCTGGTAAGCAGAGTTTGTTCGTCTTGAATAAGCATACGCGACCAGGGGCATTAGAGGGAATCGACATGCTCTTCTATGAGGTCGCTTACCCGGTTACCGTCGTCATTTACAACGCGTACGAGATCGAGGAGCCAGATGTCGAGAAGTTGCGACCAATGCGACATCCTGGTAATTGCGTTGGGAAATTGGTCAGAGAGTTCTTTGAAGACGCTGCTCGTGGCGGTAAGCTTACGCCCAAGAGGAGAGAAGCCATAAGGAAATGGGAATGCGACACGAATAGGATTGGAGGTACTATTGAGAACATCAAGAAGTTAGAGACGGCTTTAGAACGCCGCATACACGTGAAGGATATCACGGGCGGCTACATCTACGAAGGGACGAAAAAATATGGAGGTAGAGGTGCCCCCATTGTCATCCACCAACACAATGGACATGCTTGGCGAGAACTTGGGTTCCCTAAGAAAAAGGAAACCAAAGTTTATAAGACGTCGCCGTTGGCAGAATTGGTCCACGAGAATTCCGTTTGGTTGATGGACGCGGAAGGAAGTCAGTTCATGACGCAGGATGGTACTCTCTACCGGCCTGAAGTAGAGCATCAACGTATTCAAAGTGCGTGTGCGACATTAGGGGAAGACTTTTCAGACGAGGTCTTAAGCAGCCGTAGTTTGGACTTCCTAGCTGCGAAGAAAAGGAATGGATGGAAGTCCACGCCTAAGGAATTTGGAGACATAGCCAAAGCCTGCGTAGAGCACGGCCATGGAGGTCTGTGGAACATGGAGTATGACGAGAACGAATACGTCTCCCTGGATATGAAACATTGTTACCCTGCCAGTTTTAAAGGCCTCGGGGATTGCAAGGAGTATTACGACCGCTACGGGCATCCGGATTCGCAGTTCTTTCGTGTGTCTTTGCCAGGTAAGTGCGATGCTCCAAAGTCTACGGGGTTCGTGCGGTTGACAACATGGAAGTTAGCAAAGGGCTTACATCCGATAATTTACGCGTGGTATGGGAAACATCTGCAGGAGAAAGAATGGATTCCCATACCCCTGCTGAAGTTTCTCGAAGAGCGCGAACTGCTCACATACACAGCGCATGAAGCTATATTGTGTCGCTCCGCGTTTACGCAATGGTTGCCGGAGCATAATCCCACTGCCAGAATTGTCATAGGCAAATTCACCCAGGGTGCAAAAGAAGGAGAAAAGCACATGCAGCGGCGTTTGATAACCGACGACGGAGAGTTGAGCTTCCTCGTGAAACGCGCGCATGAGCAAGGAACGATGGTGTCCGTAGAGAAGTGGAATCATTTCATAGAAGGTAAAGGCAAGCAACAATGGAATGCGTTGTGCTATTACCAAGATCATCGCCCGCAATATTACCATTTGCGCGCCAGCATGCTCGCGTATGCGCATATTAATCTATTGTCAATGCTGTTGCGGTTTGACAAAGAGGATATCCCGCGCGTGGCTACGGATTCCCTCTACGTGAAGCCTGAAGTGTTGGAAAAAATGCAAGAATTCTACACTGAAGATGAACTCGCGGAAAGTGGCCAATGGCGTGTGAAAGATGAAGAGATAAAAGCCTGGAGAGAACGCGTGGAATACCACGGGAAACACGTAAAAGGTGCCACCGTCCCCACTGAGGAACCATTGCCATCCGTTGTGGACCCCATTTCTTACCAACGCTTCTCGTACCTATACGGGCCGGGAGGCAGCGGTAAGACCACCAGGGTTTTGGAATTATTTCCCCGCGTGAAGGTGTTAACGCCGACGCACCGTCTGGAACGAGAATTGACGGAGATGGGTTACGACGCGCAAACGTACCACAGCTTCTTCCGCTGGAATGGTCAAAAGTGGGTGCCAGAAGCAATACGCGACATACCTCCGGTTATATTATGGGATGAGATTTGCACCGTGCCATTAGAAATCTTACAGGAATTCGTAGACTTCCTCCGCGGAAAGTGTCAAGTTATATTTGCTGGAGATCCATGCCAACCTCCTCCTATTTGCGGAGAAATGCCCCATAAATGGTTAAAAGGAATGGTAGACCATGCAGAGGAAATCAACGCTGACTACCGCAGTAAGGATCAAGTAAGAAACTTAAAGGCGGAACTTCGGGGCCTCAGCGATGCCGAGCAAAACAAGACGCTGCGTAAACGCATCCGAGCGAAGTCTTACGAGGACTTCCTTTACGC